TAGCAGTGGTAGCAGTCGTAGCAGTAGCAGCAGTAGCAGTAGCAGTAGCAGTAGCAGCAGTAGCAGTAGCAGCAGTAGCAGCAGTAGCAGTAGCAGTAGCAGTAGCAGCAGTAGCAGTAACAGCAGCAGCCGGAGCAGCAGTAGCAGCAGTAGCAGCAGTCAGCAGTAGCAGTGGTAGCAGCAGTAGCAGTAGCAGCAGTAGCAGTAGCAGCAGTAGCAGCAGTAGCAGTAGCAGCAGTAGCAGTAGCAGTAACAGTAGCAGTAGTAGTAGCAGCAGGCAGCAGCAGCAGCAGCAGTAGTAGTAGGAGGAGGAGGACTAAGTAGGAATGAAAGTAGCAGTGTCAGTAGCAGTAGGACGGCCCTCGGAGTTTAAGGAGGCGCCGGCTCGCACCTACATCCAAACCTAGCTGTAGAGGAGGGAGCCCCCTCAGTAAGAGGAAAACCGCAAACAGCCACGGCAGCTGTTAAAGGCAGCAAGACTAACTCGAAACAGTGAGGGTGCCATTCTCGGCGGGACGAATTTGTGGAAGATGTTCTCCGAACAGTATGAGCGTGCAGTGCTAAAGCTGTGAGAAGCTGTGGGCAGGACCACGAAGCTTTGTCGATGTTGGGATGGACCTTAGGACTTCTCCTACCATGGACAACGCGTGTTGCTCTGGCGACTTGCGACTGAATCATTGCATAACAAGAGATTGCTCAGCCACTCCCCTCAAGCAGGCAACCAAGACCGCTGCATCGTCCTCATCATCTGACAGTTCGATTTTGTCCCACCTTCGACCCCAGGAGCGGACACCGCTACCGTGCTGCTCCACACGACGGCTAGTCCTCCGTGCTGGTGCTTAGAATCACTCAAAAGGCCCCGATGATGTCGCAACACCCCGCTAGAAACTCGCCGCAAGGCACTTCGAGTAGTCGAAGCCAGCAGGCATGGCCCCGCCTTCGCCGCGGCGAGAAATCCCAGAAAGATTACGGCAGCAACTGCTCATATAAGCAAAAAGATGTTGAATAATGCAAAGGTGATGTCGATGGCATGTAGCGAACCTCCGAGCTGGTGCTTGATGTATATACAGGAATAGCCGGCAGTTTTTGCTCGTGTGTACATACACACTATCATTGGTTCGTATTTGTGGGGCATTTCACCAGAGTTCGCATCGAAATGCTCCGGTGGTTGTAGTGGTGCTTGCGGCGACGATGGTGGTGAGTGATGATGCTCTTCGCAGCATGCACGGCTGCAGAAAATTGCTAATAGTGATACCAGCAATAGTCAGAATGGTCAATCACATGCGCTTTGGTCCATTGTGCATCTGGGCTGAAGCAGCTGACGACGAAAGGACGCAAGGACCGAGGGTTCCACGTTCAATGCACTAAATGGAAGAGTGCACCCCCAGCACGGGCCTCAAAGTGAGCCCGATACTCCAATCTCCGCTTTGCAACTTGCAAGCTTGAGCCGCACCGGTTTGCACGATGACATGGCCTGCGAGTGAACACACGGCTCAAGCTGGTCAGTGGTCTGTAGCACAACTCCGTTTTTCTCAAACTCACAACATGCAAAGACTTCCGCGTGCACATCTTGTGCCCAGGATTGAAACGACGCCAAAGCCTTTGCTTAGAAGGCGCACACGACGAACTACATTCTTGTCCCCACCCCACATGCAAGCCCTTTACCATCCTGCTAACTTGCACAGCAAGCTCTTCCAAACCGATGCCCTGACTTTCACAGCTCTATAGTTTCTGCGCTGAGTCTCAAGACGCCTCAGTGTCCATGGTAGAGGTCCGTGGCACGCTGGGCACATCCTCAGTGCTCGGAACTAGTGGGAACTGGCGAAACTCGCACAGGTCAGGTCGGAAGAAATCTTTCCTGATTTCGGTGTCCTGCTTCCCTGCCCAGAAGATATCTGTGCAGAAGTGGCGAGGACGGGGCTCACGTGAGTTGGCGGTCAACTCGGCGAGGGTCAACATAAGTTGAGGCCACTGCGGACCTGATCTTCGTTCTGTACAGTGCTTGTAATAAAGGTCAGGCCCGGTGCCGGCCATCTGTACAAGTTCATGAGTCCCTCACACATTCTCAAAAGTATGCAGCAGCTGCCTACCTGCAGTGGCAGCAACCGCCACCACCACCACCGCCGCCACCACCACCGCCACCCCTGGGGCCGCCTCGGCAGACGAGGCCTCCTCGGCATTCGCGGTGACCATGGTGCCACCACCATCCACCACGGCAGTAGGAGCCATGGAGGCAGACCAAAAGGTTGGTTTCGGCACCGTTCTGCATGGTGGTGTAGTTGCTCAAGTTGCTCAAAGTTCCCTGGTCACTACCGGTTGGCTCAGGAGGCTCAGCTGCCTGGGCACCTGCATTGGTGTCTGTGTCAAGCTTGTCCAGGTAGTACGGGCCCGAGCGACAAACAATGCCGCCGTGGCAATACCTGTGACCATCACGCCACCACCAGCCACCCCTGCAGTAGGAGCCATAGCGGCAAACAAGGAGGTTGCCCACAGCGACCGTTGTGTTGGCGAGGTCAGTCATCTGCACATAGTTCACTGCTGCGGGGTCGCTCGCCTCCCTTGGAGGCTCGGAGTGATAGCCCTCGACCCGGCACACAAGCGTGCCGTTGCATGCCGACGCTGTGCCCTTCGTCGCAATCTCTGTGCCGTTGCATCGCACGCCGTAGTGGCACGAGATGAGGTTCTCCACGATCAACGAGTGGTTTGTCGGGTCAATCACGATCTCCGGGCCATCTGCAACCAGCGGTTCAGCCGAAGGCTGTCCGAGTGCCAGACCTCGGGGACCTCGCAGTGACTGAGCTGACACGGAGGCCTGGGAGATCGGGAGGATCAGCAGCGCGAGGACGAGCATCGCTGGCACTCCTTCCGAGTCGTCTGGAATTCCCGTCTGAAATTCCCGGGAGCTTGATGCAAAGGGGGCTGCGGTCCGTGCGGGGGTTGTGGAGATTGAACCGGGACAGGGACGGTTGTGGGGACTTTGGCTACCTGAATGTCCCCCAAAAAGATCTTCGAAGCTCAGAGCTAAAGAAAGTTCTTGATGCCGAGATATTCTGAGCACTCTGGGCCGAAACCAATAAAATACCTGGATTTTCTGATAGTGATCTTCCTAGGCGACGTCTGGTCTCGATCGGCGTGGCTAAACGGTCAGACAACATCATGATCACACCGACACCATCAAAGTTCGGAATTGGCTCTTCGCCTGCTGACGGCCGACACACCACTCGCTGTGAAATCGGAACGGAAATCATGAGGTGCTGGCCAAGCGGAGCCTGGTTTCGGCCGGCCTTTTTCCTTGGCAAGCAGGCATAAAGGGGGCAAGTAGCTCCTTGGCAACCTATGAGGGAGCTGTTGGAATTGCTCTTCCGCCGAAGTGAGGCATGCACTCTGCATGAGACTGATGACACAAACAACATGGGGCTGACATGGGCTGACGCCTCCTTATTGACCGCTGAGCGGAAACCACCCCAATTGCATCCCCCGCCGCCGAGGCTCATGAGAGGCAGTGCGCAACCTTGGGCCCACACTGCCTGCCAGTCGCTACATGCCGCTACACCGCTGCTATGCCACCGTTACGCTGCAATGGCCATGGAAAGCCCAATGACAGCTTAGCCTTCTCGTCTTCGTAGTCGTTCTCCCGAAGTGCACGAACATTCCTGGCTTGAGTCGAGGGCCACTCCTGACAGCGATGCACCTTACCAGGCACATGATCTCCGTGGGTGGCACTGACAGCAAGTCCTCCGAACCGCCAGTTCCAGCAGAAACATGCTTCTCTGCAGCCCGCACTGCCGCACCTAGCAGTCAAGGCGAGCCGCAGTTCGAGCGACCGCAAAGTCACCAAGGGCTGAGCCTCCGGGATGCGCCAAGCCTCCACTGCAACCTGAACCTCCACCCATGGAACCGACTCCTGCGCATCGCAGCGCCGCACATGACGGACACATGAAGACTCTTCGCAGTCCTGCTCCGGGAGCCAGGCAGAGGCCCACCCCTCCACTGCAACCGCTAGCAGAGCCACCTGGGTTCAGGCAGTCGGGTTTTCGGCATGGCACCACAAACTGCCAGATTCTTCCTTTCCTGTGCCTCCAAGAAGGCTTGAAGTGCCATGCCCAAACGCGGCGTGGCTGTGGCCTCGGGCCGGTCCACAGCAACAGGAAGCGAAGGTCTTATTCCAATAAATGCCTGATAGCTCAGAAAGCCACCAGTTGAGTACACACCGCTGGGCCCGTGCTGAGGGGCCACAGCTCTGCTGCCCTGCACGAACACGATAGGTGGAGTCTTGGAAGTTGCAGATTTGCCACCTGGTTATCTTTTTGGAGCATGGTGGCACTAGGTGCAATCAACCGAAACCTTGCCCGCAAACTGCAAACTACCTACCGAAGCTGCCTTAAGTGCGTTGCAGACAGTACCTTTACAGTCTTCTTCTCATGTTCGCGGTGACGAGACCTCATATTATGCGTTTCGGATGTTGGGATCCGATAAGGCTATTCCTAGCAGCATCAACTGTACGACGAGTTTTCAGCTTTGGCTGTTTACCATTCCTGCGTGGGAGCAGGTTCCATTATTGCTTCCGATGCATTTCTAGGCCGGTTCCAAAGGAGCTCTAGACTTGGGATGGCGGCGATCGCAGTTTCAATTTTAAGCCTTCCTGGACTCTGTGTCAGGTCTCCCTCTAGACATAAGCGGTAACCGCTTGCGTCCTTGGAAGTGGCGCTCATGCTGCCAGCGCCGAAGAAGGGACCCGAGCCTTTCGAGCGGACCGGCAGACGGATAAAGAAGAAAAGCATGGTGCGCTCCCGAATACTCCTGGGTACTCCTGGCAGCACCTTTGCCGCAGCAATACATGTTCTAAGCTCGGGTCGTTCTCGCTCTGCAGCGCTTGGTGTCCCACGAGTATCGGGGCCTCTCGAGGCAGTCAACACAGATGATCTGGCAAGAACTGATGCCTGTACAATGCTAACTTTTCGAAGGCCTACAACAGTGCCCCACGGCCCCACCCCTTTGCGCCTGGCTGCCGATCCATCCAGTCCTGCACACGACAGACTCTTTCGGACGCTGGAGATCCCAATCTTTGGAGGCAGAACCCGTCACTGCTGTCCTCCTGCACCTGGCGTCGATTTTGCCGCGAGCGACGGCCATCCGCCAGGCCTGGCACCGGCAACGAAACGCAACGCATCGCGAAGCATCGCAAAGCGTCGCCATGTCTCGGAAAGTTCCATCAGCCGAAAAATCAGATTTCATTCGCGTTTGGTGCACTGTGTGGCCATCTCTACTACTTCGACAGGTCGGGGCGGCTCTTGTCCTCCCCAACATCGCTTGTGTACTGGGGCGGTGGCGGCCTTCATATGCGGGGCGATGCGGGGCGACTTGGCGCTCGTGGATCCACACCGAAAGTTTGCGGTCGAGGCCGTTGCCCGTAGTCGCTGGTCGGCGCTTCTTCCGGGTGTGCCATGGCCTCCTGGCAGGTCGAAATCTGGTTTGCAGACGCTTGGGGAAGAGCCAGTTTCTGAAGGCTGATCTCAGCAAGAAACCAAGGCATGCTCTAAGGTGTCGACTTCCCACGGCAGCCTGTACTGGTGTGTCCTGCTGGTCAGGCTACACTTGCAAGGCATCGGCCGCTACAGACAGATTAGCTTCTCGATGCTTCTCTTCAGACAACGCATCATCAGAAAAGCGTGGGGAATTGTTGTCGTTGCCCATCACTTGTGCTTGACTTCCCACGATGCAACCTAAGCACTCACTCATCCAGAATCAACGACCATGCTGTCCGAAGGTTTGCCTACATAGTCATAGCTCTTAAATGCTTCGAGTTCCCACGATGCTCCTGCGATCACCAGGTACCGGCTGATGAGACTGATGCGACTGCTGCTGAAGCGGTTGGTGCGGATGCCGCCTCGGCATTTTGCCGGTGATAAGCATCCCCTACTTGAGCTGGGACAAATCTTTAGACCGTCAGCATCTCGATTTTGGCTGGTACTGGAAACCCGGTCCGAAGGCTTTCATGCTCGTCCACATCTGAACTCTCTGCAGGAACACTACGTTAAAATCAAACGCAAGATTCGCAAGTTGCCTTCCTTGCTTGGTGGCTTGTCTCGGGTCTTGCAGGGACCCTGTCCCACGCGTGCGCACCCCAGGTTCAGCACATGCTCTTGTGGAAGTATAGTGCACTGTCGAAGGTGTAATGCATGGCAACTCCCCGACACGTCACTCGACACATCCCGCCCAAACTCCGCACTTTGGCACAGCAACCTTTTGTGTTGACAGCATGTTCCTTACTTACCCCTGCCCGACAGCTCGCAGTCTTTTGCATATGGAGTTAGGGTCCTGCCATGTCCTGCCCAACACACCCTGAGTCTCGGCTGCAGAGCGGAATGTCAACGCCGATGTAACTACTTTCCCAAGCCTCAAAGGGCTGATGCAGGTTTCAACAAACTTCAATGCCCAGCCGTGTAACTCATATTATACATCTCATATGCACCCGCAGCTGTATTTTGTACTATATGTACACACACACACGCACGCACACATAATCGACTTCAGCTATGGCATCAGACTCTTTCCGGAATTAGGCTCACTCCTTTGGCAGCTGAGCCAGCACGCCGATCAGATGCGTTGGGGAATTCGGTCGTTTTTTGGGCAATTCTGCCACTACGCCGACTCTCTCCGGAAAAAGGCTTTAGCTGATAGCTCTTTGAATTGCTTGGTGATAGTTTCTTCTTCTTGCAGGCCCTAGCGATAACTTCTTCTAGAGCAACGCACACGCACGTCTCGCGCGCACCCGTGGATCCACACCGAAAGTTTGCGGTCGAGCCCGTTGCCCATAGTCGCTGGTCGGCGCTTCTTCCGGGTGTGCCATGGCCTCCTGGCAGGTCGAAATCTGGTTTGCAGACGCTTGGGGAAGAGCCAGTTTCTGAAGGCTGATCTCAGCAAGAAACCAAGGCATGCTCTAAGGTGTCGACTTCCCACGGCAGCCTGTACTGGTGTGTCCTGCTGGTCAGGCTACACTTGCAAGGCATCGGCCGCTACAGACAGATTAGCTTCTCGATGCTTCTCTTCAGACAACGCATCATCAGAAAAGCGTGGGGAATTGTTGTCGTTGCCCATCACTTGTGCTTGACTTCCCACGATGCAACCTAAGCACTCACTCATCCAGAATCAACGATCATGCTGTCCGAAGGTTTGCCTACATAGTCATAGCTCTTAAATGCTTCGAGTTCCCACGATGCTCCTGCGATCACCAGGTACCGGCTGATGAGACTGATGCGACTGCTGCTGAAGCGGTTGGTGCGGGTGCCGCCTCGGCATTGTCACCCATGACAAGCAGAACGGACTGTGACACCGCTGTCCAAATCGACGATGCATCGCCTGTGCTTGAGCTCACGGCCCAGGTGGAAAGCTAGAACTTCCAGCCCCAGCTCCACCACCTTCCCCTTGCTGCCTTGGGGCTTCAAGCTCCCACCCTCCAAAGAGCTTAGACACCCAAAACGGAATCGCTGCAATGCACAAGCACGATACGTTTCAGAAGCCGGCATGAGCTGGGAAAGCAGTTGCTCCAGACGCATCTGCTGCTCGTAATGCCAAGATGGAGTGGCCGATGCCTTGCTTGCAGTGGGTGCCTTTAGAAGTGTGCCCTCAAGGGATCACAGCCACAACAATCCCGCCTCTTGGGGCGGCTGCATCATCGGGACGGTCTCGAAAGCACGCGAGCCCGTTGCCGGTGGCACCTCTCATTAAACTAAACAGCTCGCGACAGCCCACCGAACCAAGCCAAGCAAACGAGCTATCCAAAGCAACACACGTCCGCTCCGATGCCTGTGCCGGCCGCGCTGCTGCCTGTGTTGAGCGCTCACCAGGCATCCGCTCGGCTTGCATGCGCTCTGCTTGCATGCGCTCGGCGGGCATCCGCTCGGCGGGCATCCGCTCAGCGGGCATCCGCTCGGCAGGCATCCGCTCGGCGGGCATCCGCTCGGCGGGCAAGCGCTCGGCCGGCATGCGCTCGGCCGGCGTGCGCTCAGCTGGCATCCGCTCAGCTGGGATCCGCTCGGCTGGCATCCGTTCGGCCAGCGTCCGTTCTGCCGCCGGTGTCCGTTCAGGCAACGACCGCTCAGCTTGCGCTGGTGTCACTGCCGGCACCTGGGCACCATCCGAACAGTTGCAAAGGCATCCTAGAGGTCCACCTTCTCAATTTACGTGTTAAGGACTCATTGAAAGACTCCAAGTGCTGGGGCTTGCTTTGGATAGGGAGTCGCAAGCCTGCTTCGCGAGCGGGGAGTGTCGAATGCTAGTCAGAAGGCAGCAAACAGTCAACCTAAAGGAGCGACCCTTCACTTGGCACGAGACAACAATTGGCAAATGAAAACCGGAGAAAGCGCAAGTAGACGAAAAGACCTCACTAATGAGCCGAGTGCGATCCCGATCCACCCCAAAGAGCAACCAACAAGAGTCACTGCACATGCGTCCTGCGGAAGTCGTCCGAACGTGAAACAGCGTTTTTCAGATTGACATGTAGTTCCATGTTGGTGTCAAATGCAAATGCATTGCTTTCGGGAAGAATCTTGCACAGCAAATCGTGGATGTCACTAGGATTTGAACTGGTTCTCAACGGTGGACGTGGTCGGGCTCTAACCGATTTGATACTAAGTTCAGTAGTCGGATTCCAAAGTGATAGTTTCGACGACGGGCTTCAACACGACCTTGCGTTTCGGATTTCATAAGGTTCCTGTCCGCAATGCTAGCTTCGCTTGTGGGACTCGGGCTGACAGGATTGCGTACGGCCGCTCACGATTTTCCGGGGCTGAGGGTATGCCGATTTGAGAATATCGAACTCTGCGATCACGTGAGTGCATGGGAGTTGTCAAAGACCTAAGCTCCTGGCGGAGCCGCTCGATTCCGGCCTCAGGTCTTCTGATCACTGCAATCATGCAGCGCATATTTCCCAGTCTTTCTCTCGAAAATCCGCACGTTGTCCCACGCCTCATGCCACGCGACTGCGTCTGCGAAGGAGGTCGCAGTGATCTTGGAAGCTTGATGCCCTGCAGCACAGCCGGATTGTCTGACAGTCTAGAGTCTGACAGTCTGACATGTATATCAGTGCAGATGCAGTAGATGCAATGCATGCAATGCTCCACAGCCATCCACAGCCTCAAACCAAGGCATCCGAAGCATCTCCCGAGCGCTGAGGCGCCGCCGGGGCTCCATCACCAGGATGCCCTCCGAGGCCAAAGAAGGGCCAGGCTGCCGCGCTTCTAAACGGGGCATCCTTCAGGCCTTCAGCAGCTGCATCTGCAGCTTCGGCATCCGTCTCAAGTAACGCTTCTCCAGCGTCTCTGGACGGCTCACGTCCGGGAACTGCCAGGGGGATACGAGAGTGGTTCTCCAAATCAGAAAGCAAATATGTTCGAACAGTCCTTCCCAGGTTTGCAGGCGTTCCTAATGCAAAGGCGAGTCGAAAACTCTCTGGCCATCCTGCCTGAATGCCCAGGAAACGCGGATTTCTGAGGAACATCTCCATGTGTTCTGGGGTCAGCGGACCCAGCACCTAAGCGGGGGCCCCAACACGTCGACGCTGCACCTACTCACTAAAGCATATGATTCCAATACTCGGTCGCCAATACGTGGCTATACTAATGCTGACATGCATGCATGACCATATCTGTCTACGACTCGTCTACAGAGTTGTCGACAGCATCAGAGTATTGCTACGACTGCAACTTTAAACTATGCTGAGAATGTTCTATCAGTGGTATACTAGTTTACGACGTCACATATGCTTCTGTTCTTGAGTGACAACATAGCAAAGCTGATACCGAAAGCATAATATGTATATGACTTGCTTGTCATGTACTTGAACCCAAGCTGTCCTTTCGCTCTTAGGTTCTTATTGCTTCGTTAAGGGCGGCTATACTACTGTAATATTGTACTACTAACTATGTCCGAACTTTGTACAGCGGGCGCTTTGTCGTATCAGCAGCGTTGTCGCTTTCTGCGCTCTGGGCCGCGAGCTTTTTGAATAACAAAGAGCTGGTCGACCTGTCAGACGAACAAGGATGAATGACTGGATGACGCGGACATGTAAAACCTATCATGGCACGACAATTGAATAATTTGATTCTGCATTTCGCTCTACAGACAGATAGATAAGTAGATAGATAGATAGATAGATAGATAGATAGATAGATGGATAGATAGATAGATAGAGATAGATAGATAGATAGATAGACAGATAGATAGATAGATGGATGGATGGATGGATGGATGGATGGATGGATGGATAGATGGATAGATACACATATGGACGGACAGATAAATAGATTGATAGATAGGTGTGTCTATCTTTATTTGTATGCATAGCTAGCCATCTGAGTGAATAGATACATAGACAGATAGATAGATAGATAGATAGATAGATAGATAGTGTGTGTGTGTGCTTTAAGCAGCTGCGCATCGTTATGGACAACATACAAACGATCAAACGGCAACAATCAGGACCGACCGCACGTACGTGGATCATGGATGTGGACACCCATGACCCTTTCCTTTCATGGCATGTCTTTGCAATGTGTTGTTCCACATTCCAAAATACGCATGCAGGAAGGCATGCATGCAGGCACGCTTGCATGCCTGCCTGCCTGCCTGCCT